GTGTGTGTGTGTGTGTAACAAAACAAAAAAACTGTCTTGAGTTCATGTTGCCTGAACAGTGGTTTCTTTTCCTTTTTCATTTTTTTAAATATTTTATGTACTACTTTTATTTTATGTATATAAGTACGTACTGCATGTATATAAGTACACCTATGTCATACAATACCCACAGAGGCCAGAAGAGGGTGTCAGATTCCCTGGGACTGGAGTTAGTTACAGACCGTTGTTAGCTGCCATGTGGGTGCTGGGAACCAAACCCATGTCCTCTGCAAGAGCAGCCAGTGCTTTTAACTGCTGAGCCATCTCTCCAGCCCTTTTTTTCTTTCTTTTTCTTAAATCTTTTTTAAAAAACATGTATGAGTGTATTGCTTGCATGTAGGTAGGTGCATCTGTGTCATGCAGTGCCTAAGGAAGTCAGAAGAGGGTGTCAGATCCCTTGGAACTGGAGATAGTTACGAATGGTTCTTAGCCACCATGTGGCTAACAATCAAACCCAAGTCCTTTACAAAAGCAGCCAGTGCTCTTAACCACTGAGCTATCTCTCCAGGTATTTTTAAAAAATATTTTTTGTGCAGGGTGTGATGATGCACACCTTTAATCCTAGCACTCGGGAGGCAGAGGCAGGGGGATCTCTGTGAGTTTGAGGTCAGCCTGGTCTCCATAGCGAATCCAGGCCAGCTAGGGCCAGAGGGAGACCCTGTCTCAAAAAGATCAAAAAAAAAAAAAAAAAAAAAAAAAAAAAAAAAAAAAAACTTTTTTTTTTTGTTTGTTGTTGGTTTTTGTTTTTGGTTGTGTTTTTGTTTTGACAGGGTCTCCCTAGTCCCAGCCCACCTGGAACTCATGTGTAAACCTCACTGGCCTCTATCTCACAGACATCTGCCTGTCTCTGCCTCCTAAGGGCTGGGTTTAAAGGCGTGTGCCACCATGCCCAGCATCCCTTTTTACTTTCACTTATCTTTCTCACAGGTTGATAGAGGAATCCCAGTTTAGAGAAGCCAAACCTGAGATTCAGAAAGATTTCACTCAAATCCTGGCTCTGCCACTTCCTGATTGACCTTGGGAGATTTATTTAATCTCAAGACTCCAATTCCTCTTTTGATAGACAGAACGTACCTAGGGAATTGACATAGATGCTGGTTGATGAACAAGACACCATGTCTGTAAACCTAGTATAGTGCTTTCTTGGCTCCTACTGGGAGCCAATAAATTCAATAAATAAGAATTAGTGCTAGTGGCATCGAAGGCACATGACACCATCAAGCCCGGTTATAACAACCAACACTTGAACTTCAAAATCACAATAGTGAGGTGAATGTATGAGGGTATGAGGCAGTTTCTAAAATAGGGGATGCATCCCTCCCTCTTGCTTTACTCCGTCTATTAGCATGGGGAGCCATAGTTCAACCCCCAGGCGTTTGTTAAAGCCTTGAACTAGGCAGAGTGCAGAATCAGAATCCTCTTACATATATGCTGCCCTGCTCACTAAAACAAGCAGCCACTGCACTGGACTCTCCCATTAAACCATGGAGTTTGGAGTTCTTGGGAGAGATCTGGTTTCAGAGCCAGGACTAGGGTGCTCCAAGAGAAGTTCCTAAAGCGTAAAATGTCAGCAGGTGGCTCTCAGGGATGACTTTGCCCTTACACAAATCTGAGGGTGACTCCTTCACTTTCTTTCTGAGGTGTCTGCTTCACTTGGTTATTCTGACAAGATCAAGAAGATTCAGGGTGGTAAGGCCTTGAGCCTCTTTCCTGCCCTGATGACACCAGGTCACATGAATCTATGCCACACATCCTTTTGCCACAGATTTCCAACTGCATGTGGCAGGGAGGGAATAAGAAACAAAAACATAGCTTATCAAGAACTGGACAAGATGGGGCTGGAGAAATGGCTCAGAAGTTAAGAGCACTGTCTGCTCTTGTAGAGGACCAGGGTTTGATTCCCAGCACCCACATGGTGGCTAACAACCATCTGTAACTCCAGTTCCAGGGGATCCGACT